ATATTGTAGCAATATTGATTGTACAGGTCTACTCCTGGACAATCAATAAACAATTTAAATTGTCCGATCCCTGGTCTGACGGCTTGCCCACGCATGGATGAAAGTGTTGGTGTCACTCGCAACATACTGAAGATAATTTCTGATTCACCATCTTTGTTGGAGGCATTAGAGTGTGTGCACCGATGTTAACGTCAAGTTCATTCCCAGAGCTCGATCGCTTGACAAGGCGTAATGGTGCTTTGACCATGTTGGCTTCTGGTCGCGCTTTGCGCAAGGCGAGCTCCGAAGAATTAGAGAGCGACACGAAGGCTACAGAGACTTATCAATTTCTCCTACTCATTGACTTATCAGCCTATTTCGAAGGCTACTTGGCGTTATGTAGCAGAGTTCATGGAGTTCCCCTAAAGTCGATAAAGGGAGCTACTACGATAGTCTCGGGCAAGAATTACCCCAAGGGTTGCAAATCGGCCCAATTTTTGCTACCGTGTTTGCAACCCAAGGTTGCAAAAATACCATGTATCTGCCGTCGTATTGGCCACAGCTGTGGTCAATACGGCGACAATCAAGCGTTATTAGCCAATCAGAGCCGCGGTTCGCCAGAAATACAACCTCGGTTGCAAATGGCTGATAATGTATAAATACAAGCCGTTGGTGCAACTCGGTTTGCAACTGCACATTGATTGGTGGAAAATATTTTTTGGTGTTGTACTAGACGCGTGTTTGGATGTCCTCCCCGTTTGTGATCTTCACGAAGGCCCGCTATAATGTTAGACACTGATAAAGATCTACCATACGTAGTATACACTCTGTCAATTGCTGTGTCACTAGTGTAATGTGCCACTGAAGTCTAAGGACGCTGTTCACCATGTACTTTGCCGCAACACGCTCTTCTTCAGCTCGATCAAGGGTCGGTAAGCTCAGGAATTCGTCAAATTCAATTGCCCTCCGGGCGTTCGAGCCGACGCCCTCCCGTCTCACCTCAGAACGTTTGACTCTCTTGATTAGTTTCTTGACCGCGTCAGAGCGAGTTGGATTTCTTTGTTCTGTGACTGGATCCCACGTAGTGTTGACGCGCGGCATGCCACTTTCTTAGCAAACTCCAGCGTACTGGATCTGGCATGCACTGGTTTCATGTCGTCAGTGGGATCGGAGTCTTCATACGATCTTTTGTTCATCCATTGGTAGACGTCGCTCGGTGTGATCT